TTTAGGTATAAGTGGAGCTTTAATTATCCCTGCGGGAACTGAACCGTATAACTCGAATCAAGGCATTTACTATTCTAATCCTGATATATTTTCCAATATCACTGAACGGATAATTGCAATCTTTGCACACACTTGGACAGTAGAGGTTTATAGTTAAATGTAAAAGAATACGTTGTGTATTGATCTGTGTCAGAGAGTTACAATATATAGAGACCCTAATGGGCTTAAGTGTAAGGCCCAAACCTACCCAAACCTAATCCTAATACAGTCAGACTATTTACGGATAAGACAGAATCCAATCATATCTAATCATATCATATCTAATATTCTAACACTCCCCCTCAAGCTGGTGCGTATATATTATGAGCACCAAGCTTGTTACAAATGTATTTAACCCGAGGACCTCTAAGAGCTTTAGTGAAAACATCCGCTAGTTGATCAGAGGAGCTGACGAAAGCAGTCTTGATTTCTCCTGGCTGAATCTTTTCTCGAATGAAGTGGCAATCAATCTCTATATGTTTGGTCCTCTCATGAAAGACAGGATTAGAGGATATATGTAGCGCAGCTTGATTATCACAGATGAGTGTCATGGGTTGTTTCTGTTCACAAAGATGAAGCTCCTGAATCAACTGCTTTAACCAGACTAACTCACAGGTAGCATTTTCCATTGCACGATACTCAGCTTCTGCACTAGATCGAGAAACAACAGGTTGTTTCTTGCTCTTCCACGAAATTAAGTTTCCTCCAAAGAAGACACAATAGCCAGAAGTAGAGCGCCTGTCCGAGGGTGATCCTGCCCAATCAGCATCTGAATAACCACAAATTTTTGTATTTCCCTGATCTGAATACAACAAACCTTTTCCTGGTGCTCCTTTGATGTATCGGAGGATCCTCACAGCAGCATCCCAATGTGAATCACAAGGGGAATCAAGAAACTGACTAGCCGTACTAACAGCGAAAGAAATATCTGGCCTAGTCACAGTAAGATAGTTGAGCTTCCCAATTAGCCTCCGATAACGTCCAGGATCAGATAACGGCTCTCCCTGTCCGGGTAATAACTTGACATTAGGATCCATAGGTGTATCAACTGGTTTACTCCCCAACATACCAGTTTCTTCTAGGATATCCAAGGCATATTTCCTTTGACAGATAGAAATGCCCTGTCTGGATTGCGCTACCTCAATTCCCAAGAAGTAACGCAGCTTCCCAAGGTCCTTTGTTTGAAATGTACTAAACAAATTCTGTTTAACTGACGAATTCCGTCTTGATCACTTCCGGTGAGAATGATGTCGTCAACATAGACTAACAAATAGATACACTTATCAGGAGATGTAATCCTATAAAACACAGAATGGTCAACTTTACTGCGGATTAAGCCAAACGCCTGAACAGCAGAACTGAAGCGACTGAACCATGCTCGAGGAGACTGCTTGAAACCATATAAGGATTTCCGAAGACGACACACCTTTCCAGACTCCCCCTGAGCAACAAAACCAGGTGGTTGCTCCATGTAAACTTCTTCTTGTAAATCACCATGAAGAAAGGCATTTTTGATGTCAAGTTGAAGGGGTGGCCAGTGACGAACAACAACAAGGGCAAGAAAGAGGCGGACTGACGCCATCTTAGCGACCAGAGAAAATGTATCGCTATAATCAAGGCCAAAGATTTGAGTAAAACCCTTGGCAACTAAACGTGCCTTGAGACGATCAATATGGCCATCAGGTCCAACTTTCACAGTAAAAACCCAGCGACAACCAATTATAGACTTCTCTGGAGGAGCAGAAACAAGGTCCCAAGTGCCATTGGAATGAAGTGCAGTCATCTCATCAAGCATTGCTTGGCGCCACACTGGATGGGAAAGTGCTTCACCTGTGGTCTTAGGAATAGAAATAGAAGAAAGACTAGAAACAAAGGTGAAATGAGGTGAAGAAAGACGGTCATAACTCAAAAAGGTATAAAGAGGATAAGGGTTACGAGTAGTACGTGTACCTTTTCTTTGAGCAATGGGAAGAGTCTCTGATGAAGGATTCGGAGGGGAAGAAGCAACAGCAGTGGGCGATGAGTCAGCAAGAGTCGAGTCGACAGGAGGCACAGTTTTGCGACGCTGATAGGTGAGAAGTGGACGGTCCTCAGGTATAGAAGCAATAGGTTGGTCATCTGGAATAGAAGCACCTGCAGCTGGCAAAGACAAGTCAAGAAAAGGGACAGGAAGTACATGATCAACCTGTGACATCTGAGATGGGATAGAATTAAAGGGTTGTTGATCAAGAAAAGTGACATAAGCGGAAACTAAGTAACGCTTAAGGTCGGGAGAATAACAACGATAACCCTTTTGAAGACGAGAATAACCAAGAAAGATACACTGAAAGGCTTTGGATGTTAACTTATCCTTACCAGGAGTGAGATCATGAACAAAACAAGTACAACCAAAGACATGTGGAGTTAGAGGATAAAGAGGAACATCTAGAAGCAATAGATTATGAGGAATGTCATTGTGGAGCACAGATGAAGGCATGCGATTGATGATAAAACAAGAGATGAGTACAGCATCTGCCCAGAAGTGAAGGGGGACCTGCATATGAATAAGAAGGGTACAGGCAGTTTCAATGAGATGTCTGTTTTTACGTTCAGCCACCCCATTTTGTTGTGGAGTGTGAGGACAAGTAGTTTGATGTAAAGTACCTTGTGTGGCCAAGAAATTAGAAAAATCAATAGAAACATATTCCTTAGCATTATCACTACGTAGAATACGAATAGAAACACCAAATTGAGTCTGGATCTCAGTAGAAAACTTTTTATAAATGGAAAATAACTCAGAACGGTTTTTCATTAAATAGGTCCAAGTGCAACGGGAAAAATCATCAATAAAGGTAACGAAATACCGAAAACCTAAGACAGACAAGGTACGACTTGGACCCCAGATATCTGAATGAACAAGAGAGAAAGGGGCATCAGCTCGTTTATTGACTCGACTGGCAAAAGAGGAGCGTGTATGCTTCCCTTGTTGACATGACACACAATCTAAAGACTGAAGACCGGACAAAAGAGGAACCATTTTCTGCAACTTTGAAAGACTTGGATGACCAAGGCGACTGTGGATAAGTTGTGGAGATTCTGTGAGAGAGCATGCTACTGAAGGACGAGGCACATCCAGATAATAAAGCCCCCGTGACTCACGACCCACTCCAATCATTTTCCCCGTACCCGGATCCTGCACAGAAACAGAATGGTTAGAGAAAGTAATGGTGCAAGTAAGGGAGTGGATCAACTTACTAATAGAAATTAAGTTATAAGGGATGCCAGGAATGTAATAGACAGATGTCAGGGCCAAGGTAGAGGTCGGACGAGCTTGTCCAATCCCACGAACTGGGTCTTTGGTTCCATCCGCAAGGGTAAAAGACGGTAAATGATCAGAATAAGTAAGAGATGTAAAGAGTTCCTTATTACCACAGAGATGATCGGTAGCACCGGAGTCAAATATCCAAGTGCCAAGTGATGTAGAATGAGAAACACAAGCAACGAGATTACCAGTATAAGGTTGAGACTGAGGAGAAGCCTTCCTGAGAGGGGTTTGGAGTGCAGCATAGTCCGAACCTGAACCAAATGATGCATTGTCTGACTGAGCTATATTTGCAACAATAGAAGGAAAGTTAACCACCGAGAGATCAGGAGATGTTGCTGCCATTTAAAGATAAAATATAAAAGCCGTAAACGAAGGCAAACGATATCCAATCAAGAAGAACCACGCGTCTAAGGTCAGACCCACAGAGAAACAATCACAGATCCAGAAAGGGGAGGAGAAGGCGAGCTTCTCTGTCCAAGACCAGCCGGAAAAAGCCGCCGGAATAGTGCTCACGCGCCGGCAGAAGGTGACAGTGGCGCGTGACGGCGCGTGGGAGATGCGTTGCCGACCGGACCACCACAGACCTGGTCGCCGGGAAGAGAGGGTCCTGATCGCGTGAAATTTGGTCGAAAAAGTCGCCAGTTGCCTGAACAGTGATTCTGACGGCGGGCGGTGGTTCCGGTGGCCGTCGGAGGTGCTGATGCGTTTGGAAAAATCACTCAGAGGCTGTTTACAGCCCTAGAAGGCTTGCCGGAAGGACGCACGGCAAGAAAGAGGACTCCTAAGCAGTGGGCTTAGGTTTTTAAAGCAAAAAACAAGGTTTCTGAGCGGAAGCGAGGGTTCCTAGAACGAAAGAGCTCTGATACCAAGTTAAATGTAAAAGAATACGTTGTGTATTGATCTGTGTCAGGGAGTTACAATATATAGAGACCTTAATGGGCTTAAGTGTAAGGCCAAAACCTACCCAAACCTAATCTTAATACAGTCAGAATACAGTCAGACTATTTACAGATAAGACAGAATCCAATCATATCTAATCATATCATATCTAATATTCTAACAATAACTATCCTCATACTTCTCAATCTTGAACCAACTGCTAATAGTTTCTGAACCCGGGTTCCCCAAGCCCACAAACCATTTTCCAGTTGAAGAATTATAGTTATCAAGTTTCCACACTGTGTTTGTACAATCTATGTCCGCAGAGGAATAGATGTTAAGACAAAAGAAGAACATCGTATCTAAAAGCAAAAAAGAGATAAAGAATATGTTGGTTAATATCGAAATAGAAAGCTTAAACAAACAAAAAGAAAACATTATTCTATGGGCTTCCTTTCACTTCATAGTACACATAATAGAGCAAACGTGCTGGTAAACATCATAAAAAAGTGTTAGGTAGTAAGTCACTAGGTATGAAAACAAAGCTCACTCAAAATCTTCGAAAATAAATCATGGAAGTCCGAATCCAAGTATGTGAACTTCACAAATCTTATTGACAAATTGAGTCTTTAATGGCCAATTGTATGAGTTGAAATCCATGACTTTAAGTCCAAATGAGTACATAGATTAGAACCATCCCTGCCTATAAATTTTCAAGCTCTTAAGCTATCATAAGTCACCATAACACAAATTTGATACATCATAACCATACAAATCAATGAAGATGACATTGCTTGCATTGATCCTTCTTGTTGCCTTGAGCACAAAGCCACTACTTGGTGCAGCTGGTGCTGCACCTGAACACGTGGTAGACACATCAGGGAAGAAGCTAAGAGTTGGTGCAGCTGGTGCTGCACTTGAACAAGTGGTAGACACATCAGGGAAGAAGCTAAGAGTTGGTGCAAATTACTACATTGTTCCAGCTTCTCCTAACTTTGGAGGTCTTTCCCTCACAAACACAGGTAAAGATTGTCCACTTGATGTTGTTGCTGTGGATGGTTACCAAGGCCTTCCTTTAACTTTTTCACCTGTTAACCCTAAGAAAGGTGCTGTTCGTATTTCCACTGATCTTAACATATATTTCTCTACGGAAACAAGTTGTCCTCAGTCCACAGTGTGTAAGCTTGATGACTATGATTATTCAACTGGACAATGGTTTGTAACCACTGGTGGTGTTTTGGGCAACCCGGGTTGGCAAACCATTAACAATTGGTTCAAGATTGATAAGTATGAGGATAGTTATAAGCTGGTTTATTGTCCAAGTGTGTGCAAAGATTGCAGTTATCAATGCAGTGATATTGGAATATATCAAGATCAGTATGGCAAGCGTCTTGCTCTGAGTTATGCTCCATTTAAAGTTCAGTTCCAGCAGGCATAAAGCTCCACTTATACCTAAATATCAATGAATAAATGCGTAATGCACTACTTGTCCTTTTAATACAAGGTTTCTCAAGTTGAGTTCCTTGTTATGGACCAGATAAATAAACAAGTTATTTTCTATTTTGTGTTTCTTGAAATTTCTAGTTTGCTTTCACTGTTCTCGTTGTTTACAAGCAGTGGTTATAAGCAGGGGCAGAGACTGGGGAGGCTAGCTAGGGTGGGCGGCCGCTCCCTCCCAAAAAAAAATAAAAAAATAATAATAATGTAGCTAAAGGCTAAATGTGGTATTATTGTTATTGTTAAATGTGCTTCTTCTGGGTATTCTGATTTGATATCCAGTTGAAATCTATCTCTATTTCACCTAATATATGTGCGTTAAGTATAACATTTTCTATATTTTCTTTTTTATTTTCATATGCTATATTTGGGTTATTGAAAGCTTTGTCCTTTTTTCCTCCCTTTTGCTCTCTTTTCATTTGTATGGTTGTGTTTCTCTTTATGTAGTGGTTTCATATAGAGAAAACGAGTTTGCTCTAACTTAAAAGATTCTCTTGAGGCAATTTGGTTACAATCTATTATTTTTTTAAAAAAAATTGTAGTTAAAAGTATTGTTTTAGTTAAGTCACTCTTTTTTTTAATTATTGCTTTAAACTATTTTTTATGTTTGTTGGACCCGGCCATACATTTTTTAGTCTTTGAAATGTTAAATGTTAATATTTTGGTAAGAAATTACCTAAATGAGTTCCATAAAACTATGAAGTCAAAAGGTAAAAAAAATAATGATATTATGTAAGAAAAAAAATTAATTTTTGCCCCCCCCCCCTCCAATCCTGGCTCCACCACTGTATAAGGGTACCTCAGGGCATGTTTGGTGCATAATATAGGATAAAGCCTGATAATATAAGGTCTGATTGTATAAGATCAACCTGATTAAATTTTAATACTATCCTGCGTTTGGTATGGTATTGTATAAGATAATATCCTCCAATATTTTAAAAATTAATATATTAAAAAAAATTATTTTAATATATTAATATTGAAATGATATATTAGTTCTTGGGAATTGTACTTTTAAGCAACATTAATACATCAATCCCTTATCAGGCCTAATCCTACCTCCTTAGGCTTGATTAAGTTATACATCATTTTGATGTATAAAAGGATCTTGTTGTATAAGCTTATACTATACGATGGTCACACCAAACAACTAAAAATGTCACAACGCATAGTATAAGTTTATACTATCAGACTTTATACATCACAACAAACAGGCCCTCATGCTCGTTTACCCAAAGAAAGTTGGCGTATATATATTATGGTTTTATGACAACAAACGAATGAAATTTCATGCATGTGGGTGGGACTTGCATGATAAATTAAAGTGCAGTTCTTCCAATTCAGTCATTAATTGTTGACTATTCTTTTATCTAAGTAAGCTAAAATTGAATTGCATATCTTGTGTCTTTCTTGCCGGAGCCATTACTTACCTTTTTTTGGTTTGCCAAAATTGCTAGGCATTAATTCAAAACCTGCATGCATGAAATTCCATATTTTCTGTGTTTGTATACAATTTTTTTACTTGAGGACATGTGTACGGGGTCGTTAACAATTAACAAAAGTGTAGGGATCAGATCAATTAGAATTAGGAAGAGAGAAAGATCCGAGAGGAGAGGGAAGAATTGTGTAACAATTTTCTATATCTTCTTCATTCATTATCTTTTGGTTATATAGTTACATGCGCAACTCACAAGGAAATGTCAAACATAATATCCTGATGAGATTATATTTACTCCATTGGGCTATCATGCTTGTTCAGCCCGTAAGGTACTCATAGAGATGTTTGGGTTTGTATTAGATTTTCTTGGGCTGCATGCTTAAACTGCTGGGCTATAGGTTAAGGATCCAGCTAAAAAATGCATCGTCATCATGCTTCACAAAATGTGTTTTTAACATTATATGTAAATTATATGGAATAAATATTTTTCATTTTTAAAAATACTAAAAGATAGAATCTAATTTTTTATGTAGGTAAAATTAATTTTTTTTACAATAAAATATAACCAAAATCATTATATAGTTACAATTAATTTTAAAATATATTTTAAAAAATACATATTCATTCCTCATTATTGGAGATTTTATTTAGTTGGGTTAAAAATTGGTTTTGATCCCTTTTTTTGGTTTTCAGTCCGGTTAAATTAATGTGATTTATAAATTATTTTAGATAAAGTGATTTAGTTCATAACCAAAATTAGAACAATAAAAATATTTTGGTACTGTTACCCCTATTTATATCAAAACAATTAATAAAATTGAAGTGTATATATATATATATATATATATATATATATATATATATATATATATATATATATATTCTCTTTTGCATTTTTTTTCTTTTCATCTTTTCTAAAAGCACTGTCTAAGTGCTTGCTTCCTAGCGCTAGCATAAACCGATTTTGAAGACTAGGTGCCCAAAGAAAAGTTTTTGATGTCTCTTCAACTAAAATATCCTAATTTCTCCACTTTTTCACTATCCCTGCACTATACAAGACTCTTGCATGATTGATACAGCACTATACAAACCCGTAAATAATAGCCTTTTCCCCTACAATAGTGAAGAGTTCTACACAATAAATTCTCTTTATTTAATATTTTTCTTTTTAGTCTTTAGATGGCTGGCATGTGGCAGAGTTTTAAAGGGTGGATCGCATGACATCTTTTTTAATATATATATATATATATATATATATATATATATATATATGGGTCAGGATCATTTTACACCAGTGTAAGTTACACTCTCAATCTTGCCCATTGATCTCACTTATATCTAAGAGCTCTAATTTTTTAGTAATGTGAGCCATTGGATATAAGTGAATCAATGCTCAAGATTGAATGTAACACTTCTAACTCTTACACTGGTATAAGAATATCCTGCCCCTATATATATATATATATATATATGAGGTAGGATCCTTTGACACCGGTGTCAAATTTGAAGTTTGACACTTCATTTGAGAGCCGTTAGATCCAAAGGTGTCAAACTTCAAATTTGACACCGATGTCAAAGAATCCTGCCTCTATATATATTATTGATTGAAATCTTATGCAAGTCCCACTTGTATAGAATGGAAACAGATTATTTAGAAATTATATGAGATCTCATTTAATAATAAAAAGTAAAAACCTTTTAAAAGGATAGTGTAAAAAAAAAGAATTTAACAAACATTTGTCATCCTCATGATCATAAGGGCAAAGCATCACTCAATAGTAGTTGATTATATTAATATAAACTTTACAAGCCATGTAAGAAGGTTGAATATGTAATCATCGCTTTGGAAATAACCGTACTTACCATCCCGCTGGCTTGAAATTTTGTGAGCAATTAATTCTGTACCCAAAATCAAATATGGACAAAACATCATTTTGTGAATTATATAATACAAAATAAAATTATATAGATCAAATTATAAGAAAAGAAAAATAAAGTATGACAAAAACATCAATTTTATTCCTGCGTGAAGCATTTGCATATTAGATCACTTGTTTATTGGTTTCATAACAATCAAACCCAACGCAAAACAAAACATGATAATCAGCACTGCATGTAAAGGTGAAAACAAATAACTTTGTTCATAGTTTGAAACTGCTTCAAGTAGATGGCTGAAACCTGACTTTGTAAGGCTCATCAGTGAGAGCCACACGTTGGTTTCCATTACTATCCACAAACACCCCAACATTCTTGCATAAGGGTTTGCAAGTTTCACACACTCTGGGACAAAACACAAGCTTATAGTCATCTTCATACTTCTCAATCTTGAACCAATTACTTATGGTATTCTTGCCAGGGTTTCCCACAACACCACCAGTAGTCACAAACCACTGTCCAGTTGAGGCATCAAAATCATCAAGCTTCCAAACTGTGGACTCGGTACATATTGTTTCAAGGGACACCTTGATATTCAGATCAGTAGAGACCCTAACAACACCTTTTCTAGAGTTAACAGGTGTAAATGTCACTGCTTGGCCGCGAAAACCCTCAACCACCGCAACACTAAGGGGGCATGTCTCGTTTGATGATCTTGCTATAAGAACAAAGCCACTACCAACCACACAAGGTCCACGGCCATCACATGGGGTTGTTGGGACCGGCCGGATATAGTAATCCATGCCGGTTCGAACTTCCTTGCCTTGTGTGTCAATCACTTGCTCAGGTGAAGCATCAGCGGCACCAAGCATGAATTGGGTGCACAAGGCAAAGGCAAAGAGAAATGGTAGGAATATTATGGACTTCATGCTTAATTTGTGTTGCTTCAAGTATGTCTATTATAAGACTCAATTTATAGCTAATGATGTTCTCAATCTATGGATTCATATAATTATAAAAAAAAATAAGATTGAATTAAAGTCAATGATTTTGGCCAACTCTCGATAAAGTTTCCTTGTTAATTAATTGTAATACTTCCAATACTACACGTCTAGCTACATCAGCATTGGTTGTCTTGGAAGTTATGATTCAGCACTTTGGCCAGCCTGAAATCCAGAATTTGTTTTGCTATTCTTCAATTGAAAAGGTCTAGGTAAAATTTGTTGTGCCTTCATGATCTTAAGTAGCCGACGCATAGGCGGCGTAGCACTCTTCATTGAAACTACTTTCACCATGTTCTACCAGGAATAATCTGTTTATAAATTTTTTTTATAAATTTTTATAAATTACATTATATATTTTTGAAAATACATAATATAACTTAGTGTATTTCTGAAAATACATAATATAATTTGTAAGAGTTTATAAACAAAAAATTTATAAATATAACTCTCCCCATATTTTATTAGTTGAACTAGTTCTTTGGTGATATATATCTGTTGTATGTTTTGTTTTTTGGTTTGACGTGTATAAAATAATCTCCTTTCAATAATTTTTTAAAAAAAGTAGTTTTAATATATTATTACTATTAAGAAAATGTATTTACATTTAGTAATGCATTGTCACATTATTTAATGAATTTGACATCTTACTTATTTTCTTTGACATTTCGTGTGATTGCCAATATAGATAAACTCATTAAATAAGATCTCATCACAAGATGGGATAATAGTATAAAAATAGTTTACATTAAAAATGTATAAAAATTTAACTCAATATAAATTTATATAAATCTATATGTAAATAAAAATCGATATACGTATAGAAAATACGCTTTTTGTAAACTTAAATTCTTTTTAACAAAAATATTTTTAAAAAATTCTAGTAATATTTAAGAATGGGCTCCAGATAGCATCCGAAAGATAAGAATAATTTACTCAGATTTTTAATAGATAATAATGAAAAAGATTGAGACTATATTATGCATGAGCATTTGAATTGAATAAAATATTATCGTTGCCAACAAGAGTGAACAAAGCTGGTTAAAGTTTCATATTTCATAAGAGTGTGCGTTTGATTTCTGTTGTTGTAGAGTATTACTATTTAACCTCATCTAAACTTTTATTAAAAAGACAAAAAAAAATTAATATCATCGTCAAAATACGACAAATTAAGTGTCTACATATACCATCATCCCAAAAATTATTTTAATAATTTTGTCCGTGCAATGGGTACACGATTAGCTTTTGTCTTTTCTTATTGAGATTGGCACTGAGTTTCAATAGGATAAGGATGCGAAGGGGATCTTGACTTTTCAAATGCATAAACATAAAGTAATCAACACGTCATGTATGACGAGATTTGGTCAATTAATCAACAATATCTGAACATTGACCCCAATTTCAAAATTATATTTAAATGTGCATGAAAGACTTTTAGTGAATGAAAAATATATGTCGTATATATAGTATAATGTTTATGCATCTGAGTGTTTCTCATTCTTTTTTTTTAACCTGAATGATTTAACAAAGATCATTAATTTTTATTGCGGTCAAGTACGGAAATAAATGCTCGTTTACGATTAAATTAATCCCTATTGGGTCATTCCAAGAAAGTGATGCGTAACTGAAAGAAACAAGAGGGGCATAAATTGATTTTTACAGTTTAATAAAAATATTAAAATAAATGCAATTAAATCAAATACAAATAATAAGAATACAGAAAATTAAAAGGAAATAGGGATGAAAGAATTGCACAATTAATTTATCATAACTCAGCTACATAGAATAGTGCAAGTTTTGTGTAATGAATACGCTTTTTATTGGGCCTCCTGGAACCGAACTTTGTATGGCACATCAGTGAGAGCTAGACGCTTGTTCCCATTTCGATCCTCATATACCCCAATATCCCTGCATTGAACCCTGCAATATGCACAAAAAGTTGGGCAGAAAACCAGCTTATAATCATTTTCATATTTCTCAATCTTAAACCAGTTGTTGATCGTTCTCCAACTTGGGTTGCCCACAACACCCCCAGTTGTTACAAACCACTTTCTTGTTACCCTATCAAATTGGTCAATCTTCCACACAGTGGATTGGGGACAACTTGTTTGAGTTGAGAACTTAATGTTGAGGTCAGTAGAGACATGAACAGTACCTAATTTCTTTTGGTTAATCGGTGTAAATGCTAATGGTTGACCATGGTATCCCTCCCCAACCACAACATCAAGAGGGCATGTCTTGTTTGTTACTACTCTGGCAAGCACAAAACTAGTAACTTTGGTAGCAGAGACAGGAAGGATGTAGTACTTGGCACCTACCATTAACTTCTCGCCTGATGTATCAACAACTTGGTCAGGTGAATTATTAGCTCTTTCAAGCAATGATTCTATACTCAAGACAAAGAGAACGAGCAATGCCACGTATAGAAAGATATAATATAAAATTATTGAAGATCTATCACTTACAAATTTAAGTTTTGTAAGTGAAGGCCTAACAATAATTTTTTTATATTTCTCAAAGTCTTTTGAACTTAAAGCATGAATATTACACAGACTCATATTTTTATATTTCTCCAACATCTACCAATGTGATCTTCATTGTATTTATTCTGAAGTGAATGCTTCTGGTTGTTTAGGTTATAACAGGTGTAGGGGATGTAGGAGCTCAAGAGCGTGATTTTATAGGAAAATATAACCCTTATCTCAAGTTCACAACCTATGCTGTGGATTCATATATGCACAAAACATTGGATGTTTCGGTCCAATGCAATTAAAATTGGTCGCTTATATGCTCAAAAGCAATTCCAATACAAGGGCCTTATAGTTGCTTAGCTTTTATAGATAATGCTCCTTTTCCTAACACTTACCAATAACTTTGCTTGTATGTATATTTGTTTAATTAACAAATTATAATGTTTTTGTTGACTATGAAGACCAATTATGTTTAAATTAAATGCTAACTATGGTCAGCATCAATTGTTTTTGAAGCCATCAAATGAAATGGGTGGCTAACTTCTTAGCCTGACGGACTGCTCCTGTTGTTTTGTTTATAAAGTAATGAACTGGGTCATTTAACAGAGGCGTATAAATCAAGGCTTAGTTTTAATTTCTTATATTCATAAAGTTAAGAGAACTGTTACAGGAATTCGTGGGCTAAATGATGAAATGGATTAATTTCCTTCAGCGTGTACAACATACGATACACACACACACTATCGCAACGAAAAGATGCATGAATAAGGTTCTGAATAAATACAAGGGCAGCAAACCGTTCCTGTTCCACAAATTAGTGAAATTTACAGAGCATTACCAAATAAATCTCCAATTTGATAGTAATTCTGGAGTGTCATTTCCACCTAAACACTCGATTTTGACTTGAAATGATGCTGCCTTATGTGATGAGTATTCCTAGAATGTAAATACACATATAAGGTGTTTTGGATCAGCTACACTGGCTCAGTCTATCAGGTCAACCAAGACTCATATAAGGGGTCACTTCCCTCCTTTGCATTCCTAAATTGAGATTTTCGGACTATAAAGAATCAATTCAACTCAAAAGTTTAAGCTTTTGAGTAAGGTTACATCAATGGTTTTATATATCTCTAACACGCCTCCTCACACGAGAGCACATTGGGCTCGAAGGGTGAACAATGCACTAGTCGGCCCAACTACCTGTGCTAAGAAAATTCCACGAGAGAAAGTGGGGGGCCTTGAGGATCAAACTCGGGACACGATGCTCTGATACTATGTAAAGAACCAATTCAATCCAAAAGCTTTTGGGTGAGGTTACATCAATGATTTTATATATCTCTAACACAGACCTTGATTATAAAGGATTTTATTCCCCTGAAAATACACCTTATGCTTTAGGTGAATGTGTTTGTCTCATATACAATGGGGTCTACTCGAAAAAAAGGTTATGGCTAATTCTTTCACTCATTATAGGGGAATCTTCCCCACCTATATATACCTATCTTTAACAATTGAAGAAACACCTTCTACACACTAATCACAGAGTTCTTATGTTATTGAAATACTAACTCAAAGCCACTATGCCCTCACACATTTCCTTTCACTCTCAGCCTACGTCTAAAATATCACCTAGATGACTCTTTATAAAGTTTTTGTTCATATCATTGCATCTTATATCATTATTACATTGATATACTACACTTTGAGGGAAACAATCTTAATCTCACCTTTTAAATAGTTCATTGGCGTCATTTGTGAGAAACGATAAACTCTAATTCTCATCTTTCTTCCTTTATGTTGTTATGTGGCATGTGTAGTGTTTTGAGATGCCTAGTTAGCTTATTTTGAGACTATGTTGCTATATGTAATAATGCTCAAGATTGTTATTAATTGAGCTTCTAGATTATGGTTGTATTTGTTACAAGTTATGTTAGATGCATGTGATGAGAACATATAGACATGATGTATGGATTTATTAATTTGGGCACGAGCCATTATGTATGTACTGACCCTATATGGGGATTGCAGTCCGTGTGGGACTTGCAAGTTGTCTGTTATATAACTATGTTTATCAGGTGTAATTGTGCGTGAGATTCTTATCTTTCAGTTATCCGTTAAACAACTGTTATGCTGTCTGTGAGACTCTAGCAGGAATGACACTTGTGGTTATATCCAGTTAGTCAATGGCTACTAATACTGGCTAATGGGATTAATTAGTAGTTGTATGTTTTAGATTTACACTTTCGCAATATCTCACGTGAACGTTTTTAGAAAAAAATTCAGAACTTTTTTTGGAAAAAGTTTATTCGTATTTTTACAAAATGGTTTATTAATCTTTAAATAAAATCTGCCGCTGTGTACGCTATAATATCATGATGTTAACAACTAGAGTACTACGGGATGTTACAAAAACAAGCATGAATATATATGAAAATGGTAGCTTGGACTTCTGTTGTGGGTAAAAGTTGAACCTTGCAGGAAAAACTCTTAAAAAATGCATTTTTGAAAAACTATCGCAAAATATCCCGATATGATATCCGGACCCGATATGATATCCGGATATCGATATCCCGATATGATATCCGGAAATCGATATCTCGATATTCCTTTGGCAATATCCCGATATTTTAGTTTGGACATCAACAAACCTATTTTACTAAAAACTTGATATCTTGAGCTACAAAGCTCCAAATCAAGTGTCGTTTGGACCTATGTGAATCTAATATATAGGGATACAACTCTGTAAAATATGTTGTTGGAAAGCTTAGGATGTCTGTTTTAACATTTTAATATATGAGAGTTTTTGGTGAAGAGTTGCAATTAATATTTTAAAAAAGAGTAAACGCAGTTTTGTGCTTGGGGTCTTTCGGAGAAGCCTGTAATCACTAAACGAAAAAGAAAACGCAGTCTATTTGACTTGAAATTTTGGGATATGTATATTAATAATATTTTCGGCATAAAATGGAATGTGATTCTGTTGTTTGATGATCTGTGAGCTGCTATTTGGATTTTGAGCTTGATTATACTACTTGACAAGTAAGTTCTGTGTTTTTAGAGCTAATCCTCATTTGTTCCTATAATAACCTTAATTATATGAATTTTAAATTAGAGGATTACGATGAGGACCTTATGGTCATAAATAGAATGAGGATGAAATTCTAAGAATTTTGATATCCATATTGAGGGTACTTTACATAGGTGGATTTACATATGTTATTTTTGACTGCTGACGCAATAACAGTCAGTAGAATAGCTCCAAGTTAGCAAATTATAGTTGGAGAGCTAATATAATGATATAAACATCATGAATGAGGTTAGTATATGATTTGATGAAGTTTGATGCCCGTATTGAGGTATTTTGGAAAAGTCACTTCTGTCGGGTATTTTATAGTGCTATAGAAGCAGCCGATAGAATCTCGGAACGGGAAAAAGATGAGAAAATGAAAATAAAGACCAATATATGCCAAACAAGTCATAATTAGACCAATAATTTTAAATTTAAGAAGATTATGAAATCCGGGTACAGTTAAGAACACCGATAAAGTCTACAGTGCAATTAAACAACTGTTAGTGGATCTGTGATCCACTAATCATATTTTTAAGTTATGAACATGATAATTAGACAAAATTAATGAAGTAGTTTAAGTTAGAGTGTAAGAACTCACACCGTTAATTTTAGGAATTTAATTAAGTTAAATATGAGATTAAAGAGATAATACCATAATTGAATTAGAATAAATATGGAAAGACTTGAATAATTAATATAAGGGCTTAATAATGTTGAAAGTCGCTTTTCTGACGAAAAGTGTAGATACCGATTCTGCTCCACGGTAAAAGTGTGTACCGATGAAGTATCCCAGAAAATTATAAAGAGTATGTATATATTCCTAGAATAATATATAGGACTGATATGTCAAGTTTGGAGCCAAAATAATGAGAACTGGAGTCATGACTGATACCGGCTACGTAAAAGTGCGTACCGAAAAAGTGCTGCAAAAATTATAATAAAAATATGACAAATCCTAGAAAAAGGGCTAGGTTCAGAATCTTAACTTTGAGATTAAAATGATAAGCGAAGCTATTAGTGCTAATACAGTGAGATTAAATTTAAGTGGACTATAAATAAACCCTTGCACAATAACTTATGTCAGTTTCTTCATCCCTCTACATGAGAATTCTGACCCTTGGCAGCTGCCACCCTTCCTCCACCTTGCCACCTTCATTTTCTCCATAGAAACCCCAAAGTGATCACCTTTGTTCATATTTCCTTCACCAAAATGGTATAGGTGAGTGAGAGCAAGCTTGTGAGAGCGTGTGGTCACTCATTTCTAATTTGGAGCTTCTGAGTTGGTGAAGTTTTGGGCTGACTTCTTGAGTGTTGGGTGTGAGCCATTTTCTTGAGGTGTGAAGGCATCAAGAAGCTATTTTTAGTGATAAAAGGCCAAGCTTGAAGTGCATTTTTGTAGCTTTGGATTGGCTGAACCATAGTACTGTATAGAGTGCACTTTCATGGAATATTCGAATACTCATCAGCAAGTAGTCGAATACTCATTGAAGGAGTATTGGAATACTTTTCTGGGAAGAAAAGTATTCGGATACTTTAGAAAAGTATTCGGATACCTTGTGGTATACGAATACTGTAAGGAATGTGTTCGGATACTGTGTAGTATTCGGATACCGTAGGAAAAGTATTTGGATGTTGTGTGGTATTCGAATACTTTAGTGAAAGTATTCAGATACTTTCTGGAGACATGGAGTATTCGAATACTCATCGAGGAGTATTCGAATACCTCCTGCAGTTTTAGTCTAAAATCACTTAAAACAAGTTGGAAAGTCTTAAACAATTAATGGAACCTTGGACTATGGATATTAATGATTATTTATGGTATAAACATATTGTGATTGTGCTGTTTGGTGACCTTGGGCTGGTGTGGACTCTTGTTGGGATTGATTTGCTTAAGAGGTAAGCTTCTGTGTCCTCGGTTTTGCCCATTGTTGGTTTCACCATACCTCATGGAGGGATGGTTTGTATGCATGATGTGTTTTCATGAAATGATGAATATTGAAATGCTTTTGAGCTGTTAAGT